GATATCTGAGGCATCTGCTCTTCTTCAGTTTCCCAACAGCTTTTTCAAGATCAGTCAAGTTCTCAAAGAATTATGATGGGATTCTCTATTCCATCACAATCTCAAAATTTACTTAATTTCCCAGTGTTTTTCTAAAATTTCTGTATACATATACAAATACAAAGGCAGTTATCATAACCAGGACTCAGCTTTTACTTGTATTTCTTGACCTGTTCTGGATACATCCCTTTCATAAGTTACAATCCTTTTTGTGAAACAAAGAAGTGGCAGGTATACATGAAAGGAAACGTCATTCTCTATAAACATGTACAATTTGCTGTGTCTCTTCTGGGAATTCCTTCAAGACAGCAGGATAATAAAGACTCTGTCACCACAAACTTGGAGCAGATTGTTTCTGGTGATTTATGAGCTGGAAAAAGACTTCAGAATTCATTATCAATTCCCTAAAGCAGTCTTTTCCTCAATTTTTAATGTATTAAGTGTAAACACATCCATTTAATACATTTGGTATTCTAAACATACACATTGCTGGATTTTTTAATTCAAGGACATAACCAATTAAAAGGAATTTAATTAGTATGCTAGTAGAATAAAACCTAGTATGAAGTAGAATTAAAACCATCACAATTACAAAGCATAATTCTATAAGCCCCCCTCTAAACATAAAACTGTGTCTGCTGTTATTTGATGATGACACAGTTTTTTAAAATTTACATTAGCAAATTGATTCAGTCAACCCCAAAACCAAACATGTTTGGTATATAGAGTGATATGTTTTTATCTGAACCACTCTGCATAATGTTGCACAGCCAAGTTTAAACAATAAGCATCAGACACTACTTTCGACATTTATTTTGTTTCTGTACTATATTGTCTGCTCCAAGAAGGGTGGGTTGCATCTCAAACTACTCAGAACTATTATCCTGTCAATTCAGAAGAAAGCAATTTCTGCCACTCTAAAATGACAATACTATCTCACAGCTGGCTCTTTTCCTCCTTTCCTTTTTTTTAATTGCTACTTTTTTGCATATTGTAGATATACATTCCCAATATTTTGATTATTTTATAGCCCTTGACATCTACTTAAATCATACAAAAGAAACTCTGAAAACCAACACACAAAAAACATCTAGTCCAAGCACTGCTTAAGTCTGTAGGCTCTGACTTCTGCTTCATGACTTGTGTTAAAACACTCAGTCAGTTCACCTCATTCGTTGTGAACAGGTTTCCATATCAAAAAGCCCACTGTCATACACAGTACTAGCTAAGTACTTTGAAGGTGGCATTCAGTGCCTTCAGCTGTTCGCAAAGCCTTTTTAACATTCTTAAATTGTTATGACATTGGAAAGATTTTAATGCTTTAGCCTGTCGTTTTAAATATTACTTAAGCATACATTTTAAATACAAAGACATCAGCACAGTATCCTTCACTTCTCTGACTGCAGACAGGCAAGGATCACTGCTTCCATGGTTTTGCCTGTGGAGTAGAACTGTCAAGCAATGTCCCAAAAGACCACTTACTGAGAGGCTGCAACACATAAGTTACATTTTATCCTCATGCCTACCTCTAAATAACTGGACAAAGAGGTAGAAAAAGAACTGCCAAAGTCCTAGCTCTGATGTAAACTTTCATATATGAAGACAGGGTATGAGAATAGTAATAAATGTGGTATAAGCAAACATTAAATATGTATATATAAATCTACGGAACACTACTCTCAAATAAAAATTTACTATAAAATGTGAAAAGACCCAAAGACATCAGAGACAGAATCTAACGGGGGGG